CAGAGTAAATGGGACTGGTTCCCCTTCTGACCGATGTTTGGAGCTCCAGGAAGGCAGAGTCACCTATTACGGACTCAAGAAGGAAGCCAGACCGGAGATTCCCGGACAGAAGAGAACCATCAGTCTTAACACCGCTGTTTTGGCCAGCGCAGTGGGTTGCTCAGATTTCGGCCCTGTGAATTAACAAGTTGGACGTCCACTCAGAGACCTAATTTGAAAGTTGGTAATTACAAAGATGACAGGTGGATAAACTTACAACAATGGGAAGAAACCAGTGTAAAAAGCCTGAGAATACTCAAAATCAGAATGCCTCTCCCTCTACAGAGGATTACAGTTCCTTATCAACAAGGGAACAAGGCTTGATGGAGAACGAGTGCATTCCATTAACAGAATCAGGCTTCAGAAAGTGGATAATAAGAAACTTCTGTGAGTTAAAAGAACATGTTGTAGCCCAATGTAAAGAAACTAAGAACTTTGAAAAATGGTTTGAGGAAATCCTAATGAGAGTAGACAATTTAGAGAGGAACACAAGTGAATTAATGGAACCGAAGAATACAATACAGGAACTCCGAGAAGTATGCACAAGTTTTAATACTCGAATTGATCAAGCAGAAGAAAGGATATCAGAGGTCAAAGATCAACTTAATGAAATAAAATGAGAAGACAAGAATAGAGAAAAAAGGATAAAAAGGAATGAGCAAAGTCTCCCAGAAATATGGGACTATGTGAAAAGACCTAATTTACATTTGATAGGTGTACCTGAATGCCACGGAGAGAATGAATCCAAGCTGGAAAATACTCTTCAGGATATTATTCAGGAAAACTTTCCCAGCCTAGCAAAGCAGGACAATATTCAACCCCAGGTAATACAGAGAACACCACAAAGATATTCCTCAAGAAGAGCAACCCCAAGGCATATAATCGTTAGATTCACCAGGGTTGAAACGAAGGAGAAAATACTAAGGGCAGCCAGAGAGAAAGGTCAGGTTACCCACAAAGGGAAGCCTGTCAGACTTACAGCAGATCTCTTAGCAGAAACCCTACAAGGCAGAATAGAGTGGGGGCCAATATCCAACATCCTTAAAGAAAAGAACTTTCAGCCCAAAATTTCATATCCAGCCAAACTAAGCTTCACAACTGAAGGAAAAATAAAATCTTTTATGAACACGCAAGCTCTTAGAGATTTTATTACCACCAGGCCTGCTTTACAAGAGCTTCTGAAAGAAGCATTACACACAGAAAGGAACAACCAGTATTAGCCTTTCTAAAAATATACCAAAAAGTAAAGAGCATCAACATAAAGAATTTACATCAATGAATGGATACAACAGCCAGTTAACATCAAATGGCAATAATCCTAAATTTAAATTGACTAAATCCCCCAATCAAAAGATACAGCCAGAACCCAACAGTATGCTACATCTAGACCCATTTCACATTCAAGGATACACAAAGACTCAAAACAAAGGGATGGAGAAAGATTAACCAACTAAATGGAGAGCGAAAATAAATAAATAAATAAATAAAAACAGGAGTTGCAATTCTCGCATCTGATAAAATAGATTTTAAAGCAACAAAGATATAATGGTAAAAGGATCAATGCAACAATAAGAGCTAACAATCCTAACACCCAGATACATAAGACCTATAAAGAGATTTAGACTCAACGAGACAGAAAATTAATAAGGATATCCAGGACTTGAACTCAGATCTGGAACTAATAAATATTTATAGAGCTCTCCACTTTAAATACACAAAATATACATTCTTTTCAATACCACATCACACCTACTCATAGGTTTAATTGAAATATTGATCAGCCATTATTAATACCCATTTTTAGAATAAAGCAACGTTCCCATTCTCTCTCCCTCCTTTTCTTCCTCTTTCTTCCTCTCCTTCACTCTTTTTTTTTCTTTCCTTCTCTCCTTTCAAAAAAAAAAAAATGAAAGAAAAAATTGTCACAGCCACCCTACCCTTCAGTAACCAACAACCCTGATCAGTCAGCTGCCATCAACATTGAGGAAAAACTCTTCATTAGTAAAACAATTAGGACTTACTGAAGGTTGAGATGATCATTGGCATTTCTTAGCAATAAAATATATACATATTTTTCTAATGGAATGGTTCACGAATTTGTGTGTCATTCTTGTTCAGGGGCCATGCTAATCTTCTCTGTATTGTTCCAATTTTAGTATGTGCGCTGCTGAAGTGAGCACAGCAATAAAATATTTTTAAATTTAGGCATGTAAATTTTTTTTTTGTTTTTTTTTTTTTGAGACTGGAGTGCAGTAGCTTGATCTTGGCCCACTGCAACTTCTGCCCCCCTGGTTCAAGTGATTCTTCTGCTTCAGCCTCCTGAGTAGTGGGATTACAGGTACGCACCACCACGTCCAACTAAATTGTGTATTTTTAGTAGAGTAATATTAAAATGAGTTTCACCATGTTGGTCAGGCTAGTTTCGAACTCCTGACCTTGTGATCTGCCCACCTCGGCCTCCCAAAGTGCTGGGACTACAGGCATGTGCCACTGCACCTGGCAAGGCATGTACATTTTTAAAGAGATGATTCTACAACACTTAATAGACTATAGTATAATATAAACATAAATTTTATATGCATAGGGAAACCAAAACATCGTGTGACCCACTTTTTGTCATTATTTGCTTTATTGCATTGGTCTGGAACTGACCATGCAACAACTCTGAGGTAGGCCCATACTTACATATCACTTCAACCATGTGCATCAGTAACGAAGACTTTGATACCTGCTCGAACTTATTCACGATTTCATTTCTCTTCCTCCCATACTCCCACAGTGCCCATTCCTTGGTAATTTCATAAAGTCCTCTGGTTCATTTCATTTCTTTTCTTTGGCTTATTGCTTTTTTCTGTTTCTCTAGTTGATCATTTGATCAAAATCTCCTTTTTATACAATTTACATACAAATCCTGGTCTTTCTCAATATCTTGAAGACCGTCTATACAACTAGTAAATTTTTGGATCCCTCAGTTAATCTCTTCTCTAAATAAATATTTGTTGAATTATTTCAGGATTTCCTTTAACTTTTTTAAAATCAATTATCCTCTTTATTTCTTACGTTTGTATATCATTGCAGATTTACAGAGCAGTTCAACATCTATTATTTTTAAATTTACCCAACAATTTTGTGAGTTAAGTCATTTACCAAGTTTGAATCTTTTAAAACCTTTTTATTATGGAAAATTTTAACACATATGAAAGGAAAGAGAAAAGTATGATGAACACTATATACTCATCACTCAACTTCATTAGTTATCAATTAAAAGCAATCTAACTTCACCTATATTTTCCCTTCCACTGCACTCCCAACTACTGACTACTTTGAAACAATTCCTAGATGTCGTATAATTTCATATGAAATATTTCAGTTTGTATTCCTAAAAGCTAAGGGTTCTTTTTATAAACATAATTACAATATCATTATCACACCAAAGAAATAATAGCAGTAATTGGCTGGGAGCAGTGGCTCATGCCTGTAATCCCAGCACTTTGGGAGGCTGAGGTCGGCATATCACCTGAGGTCAGGAGTTTGAGATCAGCCTGGCTAACAAAGTGAAACTCCTTTTCTACTAAAAATATAAAAAATTAGCCAGGCATGGTGGTGTGTGTCTGTAATCCCAGCTACTTGAAAGAATTGCTTGAACCCAGGAGGTAGAGGTTGCAGTGAGCCGAGGTTGTACCATTGTACTCCAGCCAGAGAAATAAGAGTGAAACTCTCTCTCTTTTTTTTTTTTCTTTTATTTGCTTTTGAAACTCTATCTCAAAAATAAAAAAATTTTTAAAATGATATTTTTTAATATCATCAAATATAAAATCAGTGTTCTCATTCCTCTTATTTCATAAATGTTTCCTTCTGGCCAGATGCGGTGGCTCAATCCTGTAATCCCAGTGATTTGGGAGGCCAAAGCGGGCCAATCATCTGAGGTCAGAAGTTAAAGATCAGCCTGGCTAACATGGTGAAACCCTGTTTCCACTAAAAATACAAAAAATTAGCCAGGTGTGGTGGTGTGCGCCTGTAATCCCAGCTACTTGGGAGGCTGAGGCAGGAAAATCACTTGAAACCGGGAGGCGGAGGTTGCAGTGAGCTGAGATCGTGCCATTGCACTCTAGCTTGGGCAACAAGAATGAAACTTTGTCTCAAAAAACAAAAAGCAACCACAACAAAAATCTCAGGTTTTCTTCTCATTGCCTTTTTTGAATCAGGAGTGAAATAAGTTTCACACATTATGTTGGTATGTCTCTCTCTTTTTCTTTTTTGAGGCAATCTCGCTCTATTGCCAGGCTGGAGTGCAGTGGTGCTATCCCAGCTCACTGCAACTTCCGTTTTCTGGTTTCAAGCAATGCTGCCTCAGCCTTCCAAGTAGCTGGGACTGCACCGTCACACCTGGCTAATTTTTTTGTATTTTTAGTAGAGATGGGGTTTCACCCTGTTGGCTAGGATGGTCCTTGGTCTCTTGACCTCGTGATCTGCCCACCTTGGCCTCCCAAAGTGCTGGGAATACAGGCGTGAGCCACTGCACCTGGCTGGTTAGTATTAGTGTCTCTTAATCTAGGGGTTATCTCTCTTTCTCTTCTTTTTTCTCCTGGCAGTTTATTTCTTGAAGAAACCAGCTTTATTTTTCTTTAGTTTTTGTTTTTTGCCATGTGCATCTCTGATGTGTTACTGAGCATGCTTCACTTTATCCCATATTTCTTATAAAATGGTAGAGGCCTGATCTGATTCAGAGTAAAGTTTTGTAGGAGTACTTAATGGGTGGCATGCCACTTCCATCGGGAGATGTGTGATGTTCATTTCTCTTTCTTAGTGATGTTAGTGGACATTGATGATTATTGCCTAGAGCCACTAATTAGAAAAATGGTGATAGTCTAATCCAATTATTTCTTCTTTACCTATTGATTGTAGTACTTCTGTAAGAGAATGAATTTGAATTTTAAAGATGTTTCTTTGTAATTTTCCAGAATGGCTTCCTTTGGGTGGAAGAGGAAAATTGGCGAGAAGGTCTCAAAGGTCACTTCCCAGCAGTTTGAAGCTGAAGCTGCTGATGAGAAGGATGTAGTCAACAACGATGAAGGAAACTGGCTTCATGCCATTAAACGTAGGAAAGAAATTCTTGAAGGTTGTGCTGAGAAAAGTAAACAGCTGAAGGATGAAGGAGCCAGTTTGGCTGAAAATAAAAGGTATGTATTTAGAGATTTTTAAATGGAGAACAGTTTGCATTTTCCAGCTCACTGTCATTAATGGAATGAAGATTCCAAATTTGATAAATTCATGTTATTAAAATATATTCAAGGTGCTAAATCAATCAAAGTCACCTGAGAAAATGAAAGTCGGTAAAATCGTTTTCAGGATGCAATGAAAGTTTGTAAAACAGTTTTCAGGATGCTAATTATGTCTGCTTTGCCATTTTTGTTGTGCCTAAAGTGATTGGTCAGTAAAAGGTGGTCTTACCACTTTCTGCATATGACATTATGTACCAGGTAAATTAGGTACTTCCTGAATAGCTTTGAGGGCACATACATAAAAAAATAGATATTTAGTTCTTCTTTGCCATTTACTTGCTTCAGTAAATATGACTTGGTTTATAGGAATTTGATAATAGCTTCATTTATTTTTGCCCTTCCTTACCTAAGTTGTTTTTCTGGTCCTATATGCACCTGTTTCTTTTCTCTTTTTTTCCTTTTCTCTTTTTCTTACTTTTTAATTCCTTTTCTACATTTTCTGCTTAGATTTTTAAGAGCGGCCAAAAATCATTTTTCAGTAGTCAGTGGGGAAAAGACAAATTTTTTTTTTTTTTTTCTTTTTGAGATGGAGTTTCGCTCTTGTTACCCAGGCTGGAGTGCAGTGGCACAATCACAGCTCACCGCAACCTCCGCCTCCAGGTTCAGGCAATTCTCCTGCCTCAGCCTCCTGAGTAGCTGGGATTACAGGCACGTGCCACCATGCCCAGCTAATTTTTTGTACTTTTAATAGAGACGGGGTTTCACCATGTTGACCAGGATGGTCTCAATATCTTGACCTCGTGATCCACCTGACTCGGCCTCCCAAAGTGCTGGGATTACAGGCGAGAGCCACCATGCCTGGCCAAAAGAGAAATTTTTTAGTAGATTCTGTTGAGAAAACTGAATTACTACATAGAGGAAAACAAAACTGGATCTGTATCTAATACCATGTGCAAAGATGGACCCTAGAGGGATTAAAAATTTGTGAAAGGTAAAACTATGTAGTTAATAGAAGAAAATATAGAATGGTATCTTTGTAATCTTTGGTGGAAAAGGCCTTTTTTTAATTTAGAAAAAATTTCAAATCTATTAAAGAACAGTACAAGTGGCTGGGTACAGTAGCTCATACTAGTAATCCCAGCACTTTGGGAGGCCAAGGTGGGAGGATTGCTTGAGCCTAGGAGTTTGAGGATGCAGTGAGCTAAGGTTGGGCCACTGTACTCCACCTGGGCAACAGAGCAAGACCCTATTAGATAAATAGATAGAAAGATAGTATATCTAGTATGATTTCAGTTTCAGTTTTACAAAACTCTGGATGGGTGTGGTAGCTTCTGTCTGTAATCCCAGTGCTTTGAGAGGCCAAGGCAGGAGGATTGCTTGAGCCCAGGGGTTTGAGGCCAAGGTGAGTTTTTTATCTGAAATAAAAAACTGAACAGTTATACTAGTCTGGGTCTTTCTAGAAACATATGCCAAGGCTGGATTAAACATGCAAAGATTTCATTAGGAGAATCACTGTATGAGAGAACATGGGGTGGGAACTGAGTGTGGGAGAGCTATGCTGCTTGTCTAACTCCCAGTGGAGAGGAGAGGGATGGGAGGTTGGATGGAAATGTCTTAGGCTGTCATGTAATTTAAAGAAATTTGTATAATACCTTGGAAGGTCTTCAAGTCAGAGTTGTCCCTCATCAGAGTCCCATGCCCCTCAGGAATGAGCTATTCTTATTTCTGCTACTTTCAGTTAATGTGGAGAAAAGCCATGAGATATTTATTCTTGCTGAAAATGTGGCCATGGATTTCAAGAGTGTAGTGGCTGAGGTCAGCTGGAGGTCTGTGCAAGATAATGGAATGACATCATTAAAGTTTTGAAGGGAAGTAAAATTGCTAACATAGAATTCTTTGTAGCACAAAAATATCTTTCAGAAATGAAGGCAAAATGACTTTGTCAGACAAACAAAAGCTAAGATAACCCATTACTAGTAGGCCTGCACTTCAAGAAATATTAAAAGAAATTCTCTAGGTGGAAGGAAAATCATATCAGATAGAAATTTGTATCTAAGTAAATAATGAAAGTGTTCTAGAAGTAGTAAACGTAACATGTGGGTAAGTCTGAAGACTGATAAAAAAATTTTTTTTAATTATTTAAAAAGATAATTGAAAGAGAGAGATCCAAGATGACCTATTTCTAGCAGCTCAGAATTGTAGCTCCCAGTGAAAGTGCAGAGAACGAGAGAATGCCACACTTTCGGACGAATTTTTGTTGCTCACGGACCAGAAGATTCTCAGTGGAGGAGCCCCACGGGTCGCCAGTGCGACTCTTGTGGCTGGCGCAGCGGTTTTGCCTGCATCTCAGCGCAGCAGCTCTTGGTGCAGAGTAAACGGGACTGGTTCCCCTTCTGACCGACGTTTGGAGCTCCGGGACGGCAGAGTCGCCTATTCAGCTGATTGAAAAAGGGACTCAAGAAGGAAGCCAGACTGGAGATTCCTGGGCGGAAAAGCACCATCAATCTTAATGCTGCTGTTTTAGCTGGCACAGAGGGTTGCTCAGATTCCGGCGCTGGGAATCAATAAGTTGGATGTCCACTCAGAGACCTAATTTGAAAGTCGGTAATTACAAAGACGACAGGTGGATAAATTTACAATGATGGGAAGAAACTAGTGTAAAAAGGCTGAGAATACCCAAAATCAGAATGCCTCTCCCTCTACAGAGGATCACAGTTCCTCATCAACAAGGTAACAAGGCCTGATGGAGAATGAGTGCTTTCATTAACAGAATTAGGCTTCAGAAGGTGGATAATTAGAAACTTCTGTGAGTTAAAAGAACATGTTCTAGCCAAATGTAAAGAAACTAAGAACCTTGAAAAAAGGTTTGACGAAATCCTAACGAGAATAGACAATTTAGAGAGGAATATAAGTGAATTAATGGAACTGAAGAGTACAATACGAGAACTCTGCAAAGTATGCACAGGTTTTAACAGTCAAACTGATCAAGCAGAAGAAAGGATATCAGAGGTCGAAGACCAACTTAATGAAATGAAAGGAGAAGACATGATTAGAGAAGAAAGAGTAAAAAGGAATGAGCAAAGTCTTCCAGAAATATGGGACTATGTAAAAAGACCTAATTTATGTTTGATAGGTGTATCTGAATGTCATGAAGAGAATGAATCCAAGCTGGAAAATATTCTTCAGGTTATTATTCAGGAAAATTTTCGTAACCTAGTAAGGCAGGACAATACTCAACTACAGGTAATACAGAGAACACCACAAAGATATTCCTCAAGTAGAGCAACCCCAAGACACATAATCGTTCGATTCACCAGGGTTGAAACGAAGGAGAAAATTCTAAGGGCAGCTAGAGAGAAAGGTCAGGTTACCCATAAAGGGAAGCCTATCAGACTCATAGCAGATCTCTCAGCAGAAACCCTACAAACTAGAAGAGAGTGGGGGTCAATATTCAATATCCTCAAAGAAAAGAATTTTCAACCCAGAATCTCATATCCAGCCAAACTAAGCTTCATAAATGAAGGAAAAATAAAATTTTTTGTGAACAAGCAAGCGCTCAGAGATTTAATCACCACCAGGCCTGCTTTACAAGAGCTTCTGAAAGAGGCACTATACACAGAAAGGAACAACCAGTATCAGTCATCCCAAAAACTTACCAAAAGTTAAAGAGTGTCTTCATAATGAAGAATTTGTATCAACTAATGGACAAAATAGCCAGATAGCATTAAACAACAATATTAAACTCACAAATATCAATATGAATCCTAAATTTAAATGGATTAAATGCCCCAATCAAAGACACAGACAGGCAAATTGAATAAAAAGTCAAAACCCATCAGTACGCTGTATCCAGATTCATCTCATGAGCACGGACACACAGACTCAAAACAAAGGGTTGGTGGAAGACTTACCAATCAAATGGAGAGAAAAAAATAAAACAGGAGTTGTAACTTTCGTCTCTGACAAAATAGACTTTAATAATAGCAAAGACTAAAAGAAACAAAGAAGGACATTATATAATGGTAAAAGGATCAATGCAACAGGAGTCAATGATCATAAATATATATGCACCCAATATAGGAACACCTAGATACATAAGACAAGTTCTTAATGACTTATAAAGAGACTTGGACTCCTGCACAATAATAGTGTGAGACTCTGACACCACATTATTAATATTTGACAGATCAACGAGATAGAAAATTAACAGGGACATCTATGATTTGAACTCAGACCTGGAACAAGTAAACTCAGTGAATAATTATAGAATTCTCCACCCCAGGTCCACAGAACATACATTTTTCTCAGTATCACATTACACCTATTTTGAAAGTGACCACGTAAGTGGAAGTAAATCACTATTCAGCATTTGCATAGGATTTTACACACTTAAGTGAAATATTGGTTGGCTGTTTGTTCTTTTCTTTCCTTTTTCCTTCCTGTCTCTGCTGTTAAGCACAATTATCGGCATAAAAGAGGTTTTTAATACCTATTTTTAGATTGCATTCCAGCCTGGGCAATAGGGCAAGACTCCTGTTCTCTCTCCCCCTTTCTCTTTCTTTCTTTAAAAAAAAAAAGAAAGATATAAAGAAGTTGTTTTGATGATAACAGTTTTACACTTTCCCTAGCTTTTTCACACTTCTCACATTCTTCTTGCTTATAAACATTTTCTCTCTATATATTTTTTCTTTCTGTCTCTCTTTGAAAATGTTCCCTCTCTTTCTATTTCTCTCTCTGTCTGTTTCAGGTGCTCACAGACACCCTACCCTGTGTGTTACATGTTTATGAGAAAGGGCAGTGCAACCTCCCTGCAAGGAAGACATCTATCATAAAAAAAAAAAAGATAATTGACTTTAAATAACATCAACATTTTGCAGTTATATAACAGTAAAATATATAACAATTGTAATGGAAAGCATGAAGGGATAAATGGAATTATATTGCCATTAGGCCGTTAT